GTCGGAGTTTCACCGACTCATCAGGAGGCTGAACCCTTATATATATATATATATATATATATATATATATATATATATATATATATATATATATATCGTCATATATATATATATATATATATTATATGTAGCCAAAACAAAAGAGCTCCCGACTCCCGGCCCGGCTTGTACTTCAACCATGAAACATATAGCAACCTCTCCGCTCATTCGAGTTCTTTCGTTGCACAGAGTCGTCACAATCGTCCACTTGGCACATGAATTTGCAGTGTACAATTTTGACAAACGACTCTTACTCTCCAAAGCTGAGGAGGAGGGACCACGCCAAAAGTCGAAGTGCTGCTGTTTTCTAGAAGTCCCACCTCACAGAGGCTGTCCCACAAAAGTCCTTGTAAGTTTTCGGCAACTTTTCGTTCACTCTCCATAAGAGGAATGAACCTGAAATGTCCCCCCGCCTGCCGGCAAAGTGCAAGCCTCTCTACTCTGGTCATAAGCTATAGCTCTTTCTTCAGCCTAAGTTATGCTGTGTCACAGCTGCAGTGGTTAAGTCACCTGGCTGTTGAGCCAGAGAGATTGCCGGTTTGAGCCCTCGGACGATCCACCAGAGGAAAAAGCACAGACAGAGAGATAAGTTATGTCCCCTAGATTGGTCAGACGACAACATACCCTCATCAGTCGCGCGCCAGCTCACCCAATCAGCAACCAGGACGTGGAAAGAACCCTCTAGGGCCTCTACACAGACCCAAACCAGCCCAAATCGTCCTTTCAAGCTATAATTTGGGGATCATTGCGCTGCACTCGTTGAGACCGGCTCCATTCGGTTCATGCCAAGCACACTAGATGGCCCTTTTTCCAAAGAAAAGAGAAGGAAAAGAGTAGTAGTTTCACAGTGCACTGTGCAGGGTGCTCGCACAGAGAGTCGTCTCACAGCCTGCAGTGAGTACACTCACTACGGAAACGCTTGGGGAATTGCAGCAGGCCCTTTGCACGTTTTCCCCCATGGGACACAAGTGCAACGAATTACGAAAAAGGGAGAAAAAATTAATTCCGAGAGGGTCAATCCCAGCCATTCCATGAGGCAACGCACCCAGAAAGGTCACTACCAGCCAATCTCCAGAAACACGAGGGGACACCAGCACGTCATGACCCTGCCCAGTAGGTATTTCTCCACGGCACAGGTGACCCGTGCACGGCAAAAGTTACTTAGTGAAGGGATAGTACCACGCTACACTTCCCAGGAAAAGAGTTGGGGGAGACATTGGGGGTTCCACCAGCAAGTCGTCCCAACCTCGGCACCACGCATCCGCCACCCAAAACAACTGGGTGCGAGTGAAACTTGGAGTCCAAAATCCGCAACAGAGAAGTTCGGATCTGGAAACAATTCCTCTTGTGGTCCCCATCTCTTCTACCACGCCACAGAGACCGGTCCTCTAATGCAGGGGACCGGTCCTCGATTTTAAACCACCAGTACCTTCTGAAGCACTCCTCCGAACCTTTTCTTTCTTTCGCAATCCACCAAACCTCTTTGTTTCATGTTGATGCAACTGGTAAAAAACTTAAAAAAAAGTTGAAAAACAAAGATACAGTGGGAGACCGGTCCTCTAATGCAGGGGACCGGTACTCCAATCTGGAGTGTTTTTTTTTTTTTCCCCCCTCTCCTTTGCTTTTCTTTTTCCCTTGCCCCCGTCCCCGTCTGTTTTTTTTTTTTTTTTTTCCCTCTTCTCTTTTGTTCTCCCCTATGCACGGCCAGTGCTACGAGAAGGGGATCCGCTCAACCACTCGCCACCTGCACAGAAGGCGACAATTACGGCACCGCAGATACGGTTTTCTTCAGGACAATGACCCACAGCACTCACAACAGACAGAAATAATGGCAGTGTATCTTTCCATGTTTTTGCCGAGGTTCACGCACATTTTCCATATGCGGTGAGCGGTATCGGAAGACCATTTATTTTATTTTTATTTTTTTGTTGGGAGACCATTTCTTGATTGATGTGTATCATGGTTACTCAGGGCGATGCTAATATTCTCTGTATCAGGTCACCTACCAGAGAAATATTCATTCCCTTTTTTTTTCTCTGGGACAGTAAGGGCCTCGCGGTACTCTCCGCATGCACAAAGTACAAAAAATATGGCGATGCATCTTTCCATGTTCAAGGGAAGATTCATTTTCATTTTCATTTTGGCATTTTGCACATTTCATCAGCTGTGGAGTGAGGCTCTAAGGCAGCGAGCCTAGCAGCCTCGCTGCTGCAGATATGCACGAAAGACAAAACGTAGCTAGCTGGATCTCTGTTTTTTTTTTCCCCGATTTTGAACCATTTCTCGATTGTTCATCCTATCCTTGCTCACGGCCATGCTAATCTTCTCTGTATCGGGCCATCTTCCACCGGCATGTTCATTCCGTTTTTTTTTTTTTTTGAATACTAAGGCAGAGACGAGGCGCCTCGCTGCTGCAGACATAGACAAAAGACAAAACGTATCTAGCAGATTCTAGCTGGATCTTTTCTTCTTTTTTTTTCTTCGAATTTGGATTATTTGGACCATTTCCTGATTTATGCGTGTCATCCTATCCTTCCTCAGGGCCACGCTAATCTTCTCTGTATCGGGCCATCTTCCACCGCCATGTTCACTCCCTTTTTTTTTTGGTTTTTGAATAGTAAGGCAGAGGAGATCAGCAGCCTTGCTGGCAGCACATGCACAATCGACAAAGTGTGAAGTTTTATCTTCCCTGCGCAGAGCCATGCTAGTTTTCTGTACTTTTCTCTGTATAATGCCATTATCCTAGCAAATATGCATTCTCATTCTGAACTGTATACAGTAGTGCCAGGAGGCCCTGGTTCAAAACTTGACGCCGCCATTCGTGCCTTTCTGAAAGGCGGTTTGTTTTCTTTTTCCTCTCCTTTCGCTTTTTTGTTGGGGGGGGGGGGGGGGGGNGGGGGGGGGGGATAATTTGCAAAATACCCCCATAAGTTGAGGTATATGCCAAAACGCCCCTAAAAGATGTGGGTAGAGCGGAATACCCCTCTAACAAAAAAAGTATTTTGTGAAATGCCCCTAGCGTCGGTTGGACCCCCATCTTTGCAATATACCCCTACCGGGTACCGTCCATCTTTGCAAAATGCCCCAGTACTTGCCAACTTTTCCTAGGTGCTTATTGCAAAAGGCCAAGGCCCAAACGGGGAGGTCCAGATTGCAAAGATGCACACCCCCCTAACAGGGACACAACACAAAGATTTCGGCCCAAAAAGGCATTCCGCTCTACCCACATCTTTCAGGGCCATTTTGGCATATATCTCAACTTATGGGGGTATTTTACTATTTTGCAAATTATACCTTTTTTCTTTTTTTCTGGCATTTCTGTTTTCTTTTTGTTGTGCTGGTTGCTCGTTTCCATTTTGAAAACGAGCGACCACCAGTGCCTGTCCGAGGCTCTACCAAGCCTCCACCAGGCCTGCCCATCTCTTCCTTGAATTCAGGAGATCGGATTTATTTGCCTGGGCAGGGTACTGGGGGTTTAAACCACTACCCCAACAGCCTAAAGTAGGATTCCCGGAGAGTTAGGGCCGCAGAAAACGGTAGGGCGACGAGCAGCAGGTGCAGGCGGGTCCAGTCGCTCAATTTTCAAGCGCCAACTTTGGCATTTTTTTCGCGCTCGGAAGAAATTCATGAAAAAATCTGAAATTTTGAGATCCTGTAGATTAGACTAAAAACACCAGAAAAAAAAAATAATAATAAAAAATTGGACCGTGAAATAAATGCCGTGCCAATTCCTCACATTTTCCATTTTTGCCGCTCTACCACGTGTGGGCCAACAGGAAAAGTACCTCAACTTCAGCGATTTTTCACGATCAAACAAATGTGCCCAGAAACCTGAAAATTGGAGGGTCCCCCCCCAACCCACTGCCTGCCTACTGTGGCACCCCTACAAAAACCCCGCAACCGAGCGCAACAGGTTGCGCCCTAAAAACTAAACAACAGACTACATTGCTATAAACAACCATCTCAAGAAGCCAATGGCTAATCTTAGGCTTACTCTGCAGACAATGTGTACCCCAAAGACTACAGTCTTTCCTAGGCTTCAATCGTAAACGAATCTTAATGTGCCTGAAGCAGCCAGGAATAAAAAATGAGTTGTGTGCCATCTACTCGAACCAAGGTACCTCGGAGAGCCCACGTGTTGGAGGAGGGAGCAGCTTGTTAAATTGATTGGAATCCAAAGTTGGGATTCGAATTCGTTGCCCCGCATTAGGGGCTACTGTTAAGTAGGTAGGACGAGGTATTAGATACTGAGTAAAAAGGGTCATTTTTAGTTCTTAGGCTAGCGTAGGGGTTCATGGGTATTCGATTTTTTGGTTTGTGTGGCTTTCTAGGCCTGGTGCTTAATTTTCTTCCCAGGACTGGAGGGTCATCAGTGCAGCGGTCTATGGTGTGGCCACTTCTGCCTGAATTTCTTCTCTCCAGTGCCTGCACCTAAAGCTGGGTAATGGTCCGAGCATGTTCTTTCTGGGTTGTTTGTGGAGGGTTTCCCGGCCTCCTGGGGTTATAATGAAATGCAAAGTTGGTTTAAAAAAAAAAATAAAAAAAAAATGGAGGGTCCGTAGATTTGGTCGTCATCTTTCCAGGAAAAATATTAGAAAAAACTCTTTATAAAAAAAAACGTCTAAACCGTGAAATAAATCGCAGCTCCAATTTCACTCATTTTCCACTTTTGCCACTGCCCCGGTTCTCCCCACTGAGCTACCCGGTAGCCCTCTTCAACCTGTGCTACAGGTTTCCCCGATTCTGAGAACGGCGGGCGTAGTAGAGGTTTAAGTAACAGATGCACTGATAGTCTGATGCTCACGCACACTACTTGGCCTTCAGTGAGATAGATGCGATATACTATTTTTTTTAAGTGGCAGATGTACTGATAGTCTGATACTCGAGCACGCTACTTGGTCATGAGTAAGGTAGATGTGACAGTACATGTACCTCAGTGATGCCTTCGAGATGTCGGGATCTGAGATAGGGTTTAAGGGGACAGCCGTTCAGGTCGAGCGGACTACACGATCATCGGTGTTGCAGCAGACGCAACCAATCAACGGTTGAGGACATCCAGACCCATTGACGCAGCAGATGCAATTTGACTACTACTTTGGTAAATGATGCAGCGGATGTGATACGGATAGGTATCATGCTGATGCGTACAAGGTGGCGTTCACAGGCTTAAGGCCAAGGGTTCCGGGTTTTCGCTTAAGGATTCACAGTTCGGGGTTAATGCTTCAGGGTAAATGATTCAGGGTAAATGCTTCAGGGTAAATGATTCAGGGTAAATGCTTCAATGCTTCAGGGTAAATGCTTCAGGGTAAATGATGCAGGGTAAATGATGCAGGGTAAATGATTCAGGGTAAATGATTCGGGGTACATGATTCAATGCTTCAGGGTTTTCAGGTGAAAGGTTAGGGTGTAGGTTCAGGGTGAAGAGTCTGGAGTTGAGGGGGGTTAGCAGGTTAGGATCAAGGGTTCAGGGTTTATGCTTTAAGATTTTAGGGTAGCGTTTAAGGGCTTAGGATTAGGGGTGTTTAAGGAATGGTTTACGATTAAACCACCAGTACTTTTTCCCGATTCCTCATTCTACATCGCCGCCATGCCCGCGCCTCGTTCGGCGGGATGTACGGGCCTGCCGTTTCGTACAACGTTCTTCCAGGCAAAAAAAGGGTCACGTGCATGGCCTCTTTTGCCTGGATTTTTTTGATGTGAACGGCAGGCTGGTACATTCCGCCAGAGATGTGGCAAGCGAACAGTACTCGTGGCTGGGAGAAGAATTGATGACTTACGGATTTACGGTTCAGGGTAAATGCTTCAATGCTTCAGGGTAAATGCTTCAATGCTTCAGGGTAAATGCTTCACGGTTCTCAGGTGAAAGGTTAGGGTGTAGCTTCAGCGTGACGCGTCTGGAGTTGAGGGGGGTTAGCGGGCTAGCGGGTCGGGGTGTGTCGTGACGAGGGTGGAAAGGTCTAGATTCAATGGTTGCAACTCAGAGTTCAAGGGGTTTAGAATTTTCCCACTGGCTTGCAGCATTTAGGGTTGGTGGAGAGTTTGAGATGCAAAGTGGTTGTGTGAAACCAGATTAAAAAAATAAATAAATAAAAAAAGATTGTACCTGTCTCGTTAATCTCCACCGTGCATCCATTTGTGACCTTCTCAATCAGCCGAAGCACGGATGCTTCATGCAGCCGCAGTCCCGGCGACTCTTCTCTCTCTCTGATGTTGTCCACTCTCATGGTGATCCCAGCCAGAGTCGCGCATATCAAGCGTGTCCTCAGCTGTTCAGCACCGCGTACCTTCTGCACAGACATCTTGTTTCACGATGCGCCGCTCACAGCAGGAGAACCGCCACCCCCACGCCTACCCCTGCTGCGGCAGGAAACTGCAAAAGCGATGGTGAATGACACCCACACTGCTATCTCCACAAGTCAGAGGTCTGTGTGGTACTCTTTCCCTTTCCTGGCAGCCTGCCACCCATAACAATTTGTCACAAACAAAACGCAAACCAAGGCCATCATCAAGGCACCACCACGCCTAGCTCAGTTGGTACACCCATGAGATGTTAACATACAGACCTGAGTTCGAATCCAGATGGAACCAGATGAATCCTGCTGCAGGAAACTGCAAAAGCGGCGGTGAACGCCACGTCCACAGCTATGACCACAAGTCAAAGGTATGTCTGTTAAGACTTTACTGGCAGCTTGCTCAATTGGTAAGAAACCCATAACCGCCGATCACAACTTGTGGTCACACACAACAAAACGAATGCCATGAAGGTACCACCGGGCCCACAGCTCAATTGGTAAAAAAACCCTTGGGACTGTCGACATACATACCTGGGTTCGAATCCAGATGGAACTAGACGAATGCTGCTGCTGCAGGAAATCCAGATGTACGGAAATAAATGAATGCTGCTGCAGGGAATTGCAAAAGGGATGGTGAATGCCGCGCACACAGCTGTGACGAAAAAAAAAAAACGTTTTTTTTTTTTCTTTCTGGCAGCCTGCAACCCATAACAAAAAAATTGTCACAAACAAAATGCAAACGAAGGCCGTCATGGAGCCACCGGGCCTAGCTAGCTCAGTTGGTACACACCCATGAATCGTTGACATACAGACCCGTGTTTAAATCCCCATGCGGAACTAAATGAATGAAATCAAAAATCAAATACCTCTGAATTACCTTTGGGGGGGGGAGGGGGGGGAGGCGCCTGGAAAGTTCGACAAAAAGGATATTCGGGGTCGTTTGCCACTTCTTCTTCTTCTTCTTCTTCTTCTTCTTCTTCTTCTTCTTCGTATATTAAAGAAAGGCAAATGCCATCAAGGTAAGACTCCATACTGCACAGGGTAGTTTGCCCCTTCCCACGTTCCTTCCCGTAGTAGTCCTCTCCCCTCACCCCCTCTCCCCCCCCCCCCCCCCCCCCCCCCCCCCCGCTCCCCATCTCCTCCCCCCCCCCCCCCCCAGCCCTTACCGTTTTGAAAGAGGGCGTCTTCCTATTTTCTACCGTATGCTTGGCACAGACCTTTGCGCGCGCAAAAAAAAAACCGCAAATCATTTGCGAAATCAGGGTTGGCTAGGACACGTGCCATGCAGACGAAGACAAAGAGACAGAGAGACACAGAGACACAGACACACAGAGACACAGAGACAGAGAGACAAGAGAGAGGATGGAGAGAGAGAGAGAGCTCCCAGCTGCATCCTCTCTCCCCATGACGGGGCGATCCAACACTGCCCGCCTCATCGCGCCATTTTCCTACCGTCTTCCCTCGAATAGAACGTACGGTCATAACACCTGTATTTGGGGCAACTTTCAGTCTAGTTACAGCGATAATGACCGTTCATTCTATTCGGCTGACGACGGCAATTCTCCGCCTCTCATTCCGACCATATCCGACTCTTTGTCTCCCCCTCTCCTCCCCCCCCGTCACGACCCCCCATCAGTCATGGCATGAGAGAGAAAGGGGTGCCTGGCAGAATTATCTGGTAGTATGTATCATTAACAGACAAGCTCATGGGCACGGGAACGGGATCTCGATTCGGTGAAATTCGACCACCTCCTCAATGGTGGGAACCACTTGGAGCTGGTCGGGTTTCACCCAACCGCGATCCCGACCAGCTCCTCAATGGGGGAACCACTTGGACCTGGTGCGTGAGTGGCAAGCGAACCGCATTGAGGAGAGCTGGTCGGGTTCCACCCAACCGCGATCCCGACCAGGCGCGGTAGCTGCTCGTCGGCCCTCTGAGGGGGGGAGGGAGGGAAGGGGGGGGGTCGTGATGGCTGGGGGGAAGGGAGAGAAGGCAGGTCCTTTTGTGGGCGCAGCGACGGCCGCTCAGACGGTGGGTGAGGAAATGGAGAGGAGGCGCGAAGCTCTGCCACGTGGCTTCGTCCACGTGGGTCACACGATGTGAATGACAGCGCATCCACGGATAATGACACGTGGCGGGTCGTTCTTGATTGACAGCCTCCATCGCAATGGGTTTCTCACTTGGAATTCAGAGATGAGACGGAGCCAGACAGACAGAAAGAGAGAGAAAGAGAGAGTAAGAGAACGAGAAAATGCTGCTCTCTCTCTCTCTCTCTCTCTCTCTCTCTCTCTCTCTCTCTCTCTCTCTCTCTCTCTCTCTATCTATCTATCTATCTATCTATCTGTCTATCTATATATATATCGTCACAAACAGAACTCCCCGGTAAAACGTAGGCAGAGAGAGAGAAGAGGACAACAAACGAGGGGCTGTGACAAACTGTTTCGTCGGAGTTTATATATATAATTCTATATATTGTCACAAGAATATCAGAGCGCAAATGCGAAAAAAAGAAAAAAAGGAAACGAAAGGAAAAAAAAGAAAGAAAAATATCTCTCTTTCGCTAATCGTATTAAGAAGAGATATAGACAGAGAGAAATCGGTGGCCCTCAGTCTAGATATACTGGTAATGGCTGTACGTTCATTCGAGGGAAGCCGATAGTGCTTACTTGATTGGATGGATGGTTCTCCCAAAAACTAAAATAAAATGTAGCTTGCTTGCTCTTTAAAGTTTTTTTTTTTTTTTTTTCCTTCAAAAAAAAAGTACGAGGCACAAGAGAGAGAGAGAGAGAGAGAGAGAGAGAGAGAGACCGGGTGCATCCTCTCTCCACATGACGACCCAATTCAGCTCTACCCGGTATCCCGACCATATCCCAGCTGTCTATCTCATTCTGACCCTACCCTACGTTTCGCCTACCCTATCCCGACCCCAAAACCATCATGAAGAGCGAAACAGACAGACAGACACAAAGAGAGAGTGAGTGAGTGAGAGAGAAAGAGAGAGTGAGAGAGAGAGAGAGAGAGCAGGTAAGACGCTTTTCGAGGAGGGAGGCGGGGAGAATCTAAAGAAACGACCGAAAACACAGGACATTTACTAATTACATCGGGTCTATCACTTAATTACTGTAATTAATTCTGTCGGTCAATCGGACTATACAGGATATGCCCACAATAAATCCATAAAACACCCCCTCAATAAACCTTTTATGTCATTCGGTCCATCAAGTGACGGTTGGACTGATATCATGAAATGAAACAACACTGAACATGTCACTGAACGACTGAAAGTTCGCTGAAAGATCACTCGGATGATTGTGTTTTTCACTCTGATGTTACGTTTCCTGACTGATTAGGTGAGGTAGGGATGCTGTGCCTACCGCGCCTTCAGGTCAGTCATAACACCTGTATTTGGGGCAACTTTCAGTCTAGATGCAGTGATACTGACCGGCCGTTCTTTCCGGGTGAAGGCGGTAGTGGTATCTTTTCCTTTTCTTAATTAGGAAAGAACTAATGGTAGGGCGCAGTCACGCTTTCAGTTTGAAAATGCGTTTCGGTGACGATTTCGCGAATGGTGTGACAAGCCTAGAGAGGAAAATCGTGAATGTATACAACCCAGCTTTACGGTCGGCTGGGGATGTGTTGTATTCGAGAGATGCCTGAAGTGGATACAAAAGTGAAATCGTGACGACGCCCTACTGTAGTTATACCCCTTTTAATTATTCTAACCTTTTTTTTTTAAGGTGCTGAGGATAGCTTGGTGGCGACGTAAAAGTGAAAAAAAAAAAAAAAAACATTCGTAACCTCTGATGGATACGCACAT